CATTATCCACCCACAATCTATAGAGTCAGACATGATATATTTGATTATGGTTTATCATAAAGTAAAAATGTTGTTTTTACAACACGCTGTATCATGAAATGTGTGAAAATCCAATGATAGAATTACTTCCAAATATCCTAGCGGTTTCAAAGGGACAAGTGACTATCATCTCAATAAATGCTCATGCCTGAGTTGTGCTACCCTTCATTTCCCAGTCTGTGACCCGACATTATCCAGAATACGGAGAGAAATGTTAGTACGAGTGGGTAATATGCATCTCCCACCCTATAAAAACTGGCTTACAGCGAGCGCAAGATATTTACATACACCTAACTCGCGCACCCGCTAGGTAATTACCGAGGGACTTTGCAACATCCCCTGACACTTTGCTAGACGCCCCAACGACCGTTGTAGACGCAATAAAGTTACATACACTCTCACGTGACAGTTAATCAAAACACCGGACGCGGTATGCCTTTGATGTGTGGGCACGAGGAACAGGGGTAGTTGGAATATTCCATTGCTTTGTAGGTATAACAATCATTGCTGTGTAACACTTGGAAGAAATATAAAACGAACATAAAACTGGAAATAAATATTAACAAGAAACGTTAAAAGTAAATTCCTTCGATTGTTAGTTTGTTGAGATGTTGTCAATGGGTTTATACACAGTCCTATTAAAAATGTCGCGTTTGCGCATAATGGCATGTCCCATTGCCAGTTTGCCATACAGCGCCCAGTCAGTCTTTCCCAGAAATCTTCTACTTATATAGTTTTACATACTAGTACTAGTATATGCACAGGGAGCCCAGGAACTATGATCAACTGTATGCACTCCCTGTGAGGGGGGTGTGTCGGCTGGTATCTAGTGTAAGAAATAACCAAGGGATGAAGGCTCCAGCCAGCTCATATTTTTTAAACTCGAAAAAAACAGACGAAAAGAATGAAAAATAAAATCTATAAAAAATACCAGGTTGAAGAATATTAGTTGCTCAACTGGTTGAGCAAGGCTAACCGAGTCGTGACCTCAATGTGGTTCGTAACCAGTCTTGTGATTGGTTGTTGACAAATGCTGAACAGGCCACGCCTCCAACTGTACCGTGCGTTCGGGCAAACCGTTAGGAATTCCTAAATGGAGTCAATTTGTGTAGTTTTCTTGATTTATTCTGCAGATATCGGTAAAATGTGGGTAAGGCTTTGGCGAAATTTGAAGCCGAATTTTCCGGAGTGCAGAACGCACCTGATAGTTGCGAAGTTGTATATGGACTGCTAAAAGGCGAGCCCACCCGATATTTTAATAATTATATTTATGAGTATACTCATTATTTTTTACACCCTGTAACACATTCGTCAATATTTTAATGTTATAGGCTGTGAGACTAGCGTCGAATATACAGTATAATTAAATGTGTATTTTTTTTGTTGCAGACTCTCCAATAAAGTCCTCCCATGACAGTGACGAAGAGTTGTCGGGGCAATTTTAAACTCCAGGGAAACGAATTGTTTTGAAAACAAAATAATCAACAATGATCTAACCTCAAACTAAGTAAAAAATTTAAATAATTTCAACGGTTTTATCTCTCCATCCAGTGTTTCTATTGGTCAACCCTAACCCTGTAACAGTTAATTTTAGTGGCAGACCTACCCCATACGCAACTCATATAAAAAAATAATCGACAACATTTTAGAAGAAAGAACATATTTATTTATCAATTTACACTTTCCAGTAAGTTTTGTGATAAGGCTCCACCATCAAAATTTAGTATGTTTTTTTAATGTTATCTAGTCTAGACTATGGCAATTCCACAAAAGCGAAAGAAATTGCGCGACATCAAGGGCGTTATTGATGCAAGTCCGTCAATAATAGCAGTCTCGGTAATAATTTTCTCTTCCCTTGACAAAAACACATTTCACATGAATTAAATTCAGGTGAGTATGGTGGTTGAAAAAGTAGCGTAACATTTCTTGTTGCCAACATTTCACGAAGCGCTGGCTCAGTTATTCGGCCATGGTGAAAACCACAATTATCCGTTATTACTGTATCGTCTGGTGACAATACATGTTGCCCATTCTCGTCGAATAACTCCATGGTCTCTTCAAAAAAATTAAGCATTTCGAGTCCACTGGAAGGACCGTCTAAAATGTTGAAGTTACTTACACCTCGGGCGTTGTGTAAGAGACTCACTGTAAAATTGACGTCTTAAGCATAGCGTTGAAACTCGACAGCCTTTTGACCGCGTAAACTGTGACCGTAATCATGATTGCGATTTGGAGTCGTTCTCTTCACACCAGTCTCGTCGAAAAAGTGCAAAGTTTGTGGATCAAGCTGAGAAACAGTGTCTATATATTGTAATATTCGTTCCATATTTCTTTCAGTAACTTGCTCAGTAGGAGTTTGACTTATTTTTTTGAACGAATAATTCAAATCACTTTTCATTATATGATGTACCATACGCACCGAAGGCAAATTTTCCTGTACGCAAATATTTTCCCTCAAGAGAGACATGCGTATTTCCTTTGCCGTTAGGGATGGTTTCTGTAAGATTTCCTGTGTAGATTTCAGTCGACGACGGCCGCTACTCTTGTCGGAACGTATCCAACCGGTGCGACGGAAATGCCTCACAATCCCCTGGACCGTTGCCCTCGCTAGACCAACTTCCTTGGCGATCATTCGCAAACTATTTCCATCAAAGAAAAGACGAATTATCTCCTTCCGAGTGTTTTCGTCTACACGCTTTGGCATAATAGCAATAATTTTATAGTCAGCGAGCAATTCAAACTTGAATCCAGAAACTACACTGAAAAAAACTAAACTGTTCTCGCGATGGTAATTCCATTATATGTTAGGGGTGTTGTATTACATGTTTGTATTAACAAGGTTTATTATATTAATGAAACGTTCAAAATAGAATTTATTTATTAGTAAATAAACGAGCATATCTATGCATGACATAATAAAGTGTCCGACTACAACAATGAATAAAACATTGTTTGATAAATGTTTGACTGGGCGCTTACACGTTGTAATTGTTGAACCCATCTGAAACCCCGGACCGTTGTTTTGATTGAACATGAACATGTGCTTTCCATCTAAATCATCTGAGCGTGCTCAAAACCAAAATATAGCAAGTACGCATGTATTTAACCTATTGACCCAGAAAAAGTTAGAACAGCTCATTATCTGCCTCATGCATATTTATGAGGGGAAAAAAGGCCATTACAGGCTAATTCCCGATGGGGCAGTTGCCAGAGCTGTTGAATGTCAAGTGTTACACAGATTGTTATAACTACAAAGCAATGGAATATCCAAACTACCCCTCGTTCTTCGTGCCCACACATCAAAGGCATACCGCGTCCGGTGTTTTGATTAACTGTCACGTGAGAGTGTATGTAAATTTATTGCGTCTACAACGGTCGTTGGGGCGTCTAGCAAAGTGTCTGGGGATGTTGCAAAGTCTCTCGGTAATTACCTACCGGGTGCGCGAGTTAGGTGTATGTAAATATCTTGCGCTCGCTGTAAACATATGTGGTAACATGAGCCACAATATGGAATCAGCATTTATGGCGTTCGCAAGTTATGCGTCTTAGAACTTGAATATTATTTATCTGGAAATATTTAAACCCCGACATGCAACGCTTTTTCGAATTCTGCTTAGGGAGAAGCACAGCACTACTTGCCTTAATCTCCTTCCCATAGGTCTTTGTGCTTTTATACGCAATCGTACCTCTGCTCCAGGCAGCCTTTAATTTCAAAGTTTGTGGTCAATAACCTCACTACGCACGGTCATTTTTCCGCAGCTGGAAAAATGCGTGTGAGAATCGAACTATTTATAACGTCTGACTTCTATGAAACGAAATACTACATTT